AATCTGTCACAACCCCATATTCTCAGATCAGAGAGCGTATTCTTTACATAGAGATGAATATAGTTTAAGTACTAATTGTACCTGCAATATGAATAAGAAACAGTAATAATAATTACACCTTATGGTTGAATGTGAAAACGGTTGTGAGCCCAATCCTGTTTCCCTTCGTGCCAAATTTTAAATAAAACTGAGAGGAAGAAAAGCAGGTATTAGGCCTACTGATACAGAAAAGGTTATGCCTGAGTATAGGATTTAATCTTGGGTATCTAATCCACGTTAGCTTTGCTTAAGGGCAGCTGGCAAATAAGGTAGTATACCATGACATTATTGGGCCATACCACATCTGTTTACCTTACCCTCATTTAATACCTTTACCATTACTGATGGAGTTGCAGAGGAAGTAATCTAAGAACAGGCCATATCTTAATCTGGTTTAGACTCCTCAGCACTGGATCAGCCCTCAGAAGCAGATTCAAGTCACAAGCACTAAAATGACAATGTCTGAAAAACTTCCAGAGATGGAACAGAAGAGAATGTTACTTCATTAAAACATTGCTTATATCATTAAAACCTCTCACTATAAAAATTACCTGTAAATCTAGTAATTAGAACAATACATCAAAAACCAAACCAAAGATTGTGTAATCTAGGAGAACAAAAGTAGACTACTGCTATAAAGATTATATACATATTTTAAGTAGACTAGTAGAAATTTACAGTCATGTATTTCTAAATAGTACAGTAAATATTTATGCACTTCAAATATTTAAACTTGTGATTTTCTCCAAGTGTGTTTTTCAGTATACCTGTTGAGAAGACTTCATTTACCATTCAGTAGAAACAATACTTACAATTTTATATATATGTGTGTATTTATATAAAATTATACATATTCAAAAGAATGCTAATAAATGTAAACTTCCTGGGACCTTAAGATTCAAAAATTATGCATACAAGAATTTATTTATGTGATTTTATCTCAAATACTTGTCTAATAGCATGTACTATTCACACTGCATATATCTATGCAAGCCATTGGAGAGAGGTGGCTTCTAAGTATACAGCAACCTGCAGTAATGAACCAAATTTCTAAATCTCTGAACGGAGAAATGGCAACTACTTCGTAGCGATTGTGTTCACTTTTTAAATAGTATGCTGCTGATACAATGTTGACCTGTCTGTATTGAACATCTGAAGAAACAAGCTAACACCAAGATTATAGTTAGCCTGTTTCATGGAGACTGGCAACAGGAGAAGCACTTTCACAACTGAAATTATGCTAATAAAAAGGGGTAGTTACTTGAGGTTGTGCACCCGAGTAATGAATCAAATCTTGATGTTAGGCTTCTCGGTTCCTAAGTCTTTGACCAATTGTTCTAAATAACTACTTCCTTTTTTTTTTTTTTTTTTTAAATTATCTCTCTTTCCTCCCTACTGTTTCCTGTCAGATATTATCCCTGCCAAATTCAGAATCCAAACCTTTCAGATTAAAGGCCAAAAACATGTGTACATTCCTGAGACTGAAGGTAAGCAAGCAAACAGAATGAGGAGAAACAATACGAAGAAATGTGCAGTTAGGCATTTTATTTGGTCATAAATGAAATCAATAGCATGGGATGATAAAAAAACTATTTTTTGTAAGACTTTTTAATTGGTTTTGGGGTGTTTTGTTGTTCTTTTTTTGTTTCTTAAAAAAGTTTAGTTTTATTTTAATTCATTTTAGAAATAAACAGCTATAAAGTATTTTTAATCAATATAAGTGTATTTATAGTAAAAATATATTCTAGTCATTGTCATTAACTGGCACTGCTATTAGCTTCTTGGCTGTGGGACCAGGTACAATGCACTGCACAGTAGCATTTCTGGTTATTCCAGAACAGATGTGTTCATCAGAACACAGACATTGTTGCTCCTTGCAAAACAAACAAAAGGTAAAGACTTCATGCTTTTCAGGCTGAGCAAAAGTTGGACAAAGGCACTACACAGGTAGATTTTGTTATTATACAAAGAAATGAGAAGTTCTGGCAGTCACACAGCATCCTCATGAAAATTGCACGATCAAGTTTCAGATGGATCTATTGAACTTCCCTTACCCGTGATGGTTATTAGATCTGTGTAAATGTGGAGCACCCCTGCCAAGCTAACTACCTGGCAAGGCAGAGCACCTTACAAAAGTAATACCAATAATCTGAACGGCAACCAGAGTACTGTGGCCTCACTTCACTGTCACAGAAAACCTTTGTGCTCTGGCTGCCGATTAGTAGGATTTGTGTTCTTGTGAGGAAGGAAAAAAGAGGAAGCATAAGGAAGAAACAAAAAGAACATTTGGGCTGAGAAACTGGAACTGAGCAGGCTCTTGCCACAGGAGGTGGATTTAATCTTACTGAAGCCAATAAATTCAAGGCTTGTTTTTCATTTAAGGTAGTCACCCAGTCTGTTGAATGTTTGTATCTATGTAAAACTAGAACAAATGAACAGAAGTGATGAATGTAAATGCTCTGGGTGGAAGGTTTCAGTTGTGTATTTTTCTACAAAAAGATAACCAAGAGAAGTCACAGAAACACGTGAAAAACTTGGACAGGCTGAAGAAGGCCAGACCTCAGCTTTCACCCCTTGCCACTTCTGCACTCTTTCAAAGAGGCAGAGCTATACCAGCTGTTCAGAATGACAGTCCTGGCTACTCTTAAATAGTACATGAAGAATAATTCCAATCTGGAGATGATACAGTCTTGCTGTCTTTCAAGCCCAGCTTTGGTCCTCTTCAGTGTCCTCACTAACATCTGGTCAAGGCTCAGGGATGGTCAAGTAGAGCAAACAGAAGGTTGAGAAACATTAAGCAGATGAACGGAGCACAACAGGTAATAAATATGCTGCCTTATAAACTAATATTATGCACACGCTTGAACACTATGTCATGATCCTTACAGTTTCAGAAAGGATATAGCTGAAAAAGATCAGAGAATCTAAAAAACTTTACCAAAGAATAACTAAGTAGTACTCAGCTTACAAAAGGTTGTCGAGGAGTAATAAGGCAGACATCCATGAGTGGCCATAGTCTCTCTCAGTGTGAGAACAAGGGATTATAAAATGAAATTAGCAGTAGGCAGGTTTTAAAGAAAATGTGTTTCTTCACAAAATATATAACTAGAATGGACCAGAAATATCTTTGACAACTTACAAAGTGCCTTGTGCATGCTAATAAAACCTTCTACAATAAAGTAACCTGCTCAGTTGATGCGAGGTGAGTGGTGGACACTATCTACCTGGATTTCTCTAGGCTTTTGGTATGGTTTCCCACAGCCTCCTCCTAGAGAAAATGATGCATTACAGTTTAGACAAGTGGTTTATGTGGTGGGTGGGGAACTGGCTGACAGGGTGCACCCTGAGGGTGATGGTAAGTAGCTCCTTTTCAAACTAGTGATTCATCACTACTGGGGCTCCTCAGGGATCAATATTGGGCCTAACACTGTTTAGTGTCTTCGTAAGTAATCTAGATGATGGGATCAAGCGTATCCTGATAAAGTTCCTGATGATGCAAACTGAATGGAAAAGTGGACACTTTGGAAGGGAGAGACTCTGGAGGAAGATAACTGGGATAACAAGAACCTGATGAAGTTCAACAAGGACTAATATCTTGCACCTGGGTAAACATAGTCCAAGAGTGCAGCACAGGCTGGGATCTACTTGTCTAGGGAACAGTTCTATGGAAAGTGGCCTGGGGATTCTGGTGGACAAGCAGCTCCATGTGAGTGAATAGTGTGCAGCTGTGGCAAAGAAAGCCAACAGGATGCTGTTAGCATCAACATGAACAAGGGCATCACCCGCAGAGTGCTGCTCTGTGCTTGTCAGGCCATACTTGAAACACTGTGTTCAGTTTTGGTCCCCACTATTCAAAAAAGATGTGGACAGGCTGGAAAGGGTGCAGAGGGAGCCATAAAAATGATAAAAGGACTGGGAAGCCTGTAGTATGAGGAGAGGCCAAGACAGCCAAGTTTGTTCAGCCTTAAGAGAAGAAGCCTCAGGGGAGATCATGTTGCATCATTTAAAGGGTGGCTGCACAGAAGATGGGGACTTCTTTTTTACAAGGAATCACATGGAAAAGACAGGGGTAATGGGCACAAGTTACTCTGTGGGAGATTCCAACTGGATACAAGAGGAAAATTTTTCACCACGAGAACAATCAGCCATTGTAATCATCTCTCCAGGGAAATGGTGGATTCCTCAACACTGGGTACTTTTAAAATTCAGCTGGACAGAGGCCTGGGACATCTAGTCTAGGTCATGCTTTGCCTGAAAGGTTGGACCAGACAATCTTTGAGGCCTCCTTCGAACCTGCTATTCTATGACAAATTTCTGTTGTTTGAAGGGACAACCAGACACATTCATGCAAAAGACATCAACTGGAAATAAGTGCTTAGACTCCCTCCCTTCCTCAAGAAGTCCCTGCAAGACAGTTGGAGATGGGAAAATACTCTGCACAGCAAGCAGAATGCAACACTACGCTGCCTTTATACCCACAGTTTTGACTGGCATCTGCTGCTATTCTCCTTTCCCCTCCCTGCGATGCACCTTGAGCCACCTGTCCTGCAAGGACACCAGCCCTGCGCCTGCGGTAACTAGTTCTCTTTTTAAATTCAGTCCTGGGCTGCCTAGTCAACCTGACCGAGCACCGCCAAGGGAGAACGCGGCACCGGGAGGGGCCCTGGCTGCTGCCTTACACAGCCCGAGCCCGGCCCCCTGCTCAGCGTGTCAAGCCGTCAGCTCCAGGGTAAGAAACGCGGCCCGAGGCAGGCCGGACCCGAAAGCGAGGGGCAGCACGGGACTCACCTCAGCCACCACCCCCAGGCGAGGACCCCCCAGGCGAGGACCCACCCCGCTACGGCCCCTCCGCCCGCCGTCTGCGGCCCCGCCCCGGGGCTGGCGCTGCGGCGCAGCTTGGGCCCAATAGCGGCTGGGACGCTAACAGCGTGGGCGGGGTGGTGGGGTCTGCGCCTGCCCCTGCCCGCCGGTGGCTGCTCCCGGCTCGGGGTGCTGATTAAATACAGCCGGGGCGGTGGAGTAGGGGATCGGGATGGCGCTGGCGGCGGGGAGGAGGCGGCGGCAGGACTTGGAGAACGTGAGTGCGGGCCTGTGTGGTGGCCGGGAGCGGGGCCGGGCGGTGGTTCCGCCTGGGTGACCGGCCAGGCTGCTGTTAGTGGTGGGCGCTGATATGAGGGCGCCTCGCTTTACGCTTCGTCTCTTCCTTCACGTCTTTCCGCTGTTGTCTGTGTCAGGCTTTGTCGTCCTCCTTCCGGTCGAGGCGTCTCATAGATGGCCGCTTCGGAAGTCAGGAGGTGCCGGGCACCCTCCCTGGCCGGGCCGAGCTGCACTCACCCGTCCGAACCTGTAGTACCCCAGTAACTTGGGTGTGCGGCTGTTCTCAATGGTGGTTATTAATTTAATCAAGGCCGTTCCTGTGGATTTAGTTCTTCTGGGTTACCTTCTTCAGCTGACAAGTCCTGTAAGCGTTATCTTTGGTTTATGTGCTGTGAGCACCGCGTTTCAATGATTGTCTACGGCGCCACCAACAAACTGACAAGCAATGTTTCTCTGTAGTCCCAGCCCGTGCGGGAAGCCGGGGCGGGCAGGGTTTGCTGCCCCTGGCTCTGCCTGTGCCTGCTTCCTGCCCTTCTGGTGCTGGTGGTCACATGCTGGGAGTGGACCAGGGAGCCAAGAGACTGAAGCCTTAACCCATGCCTGTGGTGACATCATTGCCTAATAGAAAGGCCTGTTCGGTTTTGGGTTTTGTGGTTTAGATTTTGTTGGTGGAGGTTTGTTTGTTTTGTTTGTTTGTTTTGGGTTTTTTTGCTGTTTTTTTTTTAATTTTTTTTTTAAGGTGTTTTGATGCATCTTAACAATGAAACCTCTGTTTTTCACAATTAGAACACTTACTAAATTTGTCTTAATGCCAGATTACCTGAGTGGAATCATCATTTGCTTTAGTTCCCTTCCTCCCCACGCTGCCTGTAATACCTACTTAGAGAAATTATGTCATATGTCAGTGTTTCTGAATGCTGGCTGTATTTCAGGATGCAAAGATGGACTATAGCTGGTCTTGCAGTAAGTAACATCATCAAACATGTTCTAATAATGCTCCATCTGTGAGGGAGTGTGCTGATCTGGCATAGTATTGCAGAAATGCTGAGCCCACCTGTTCCCCTGAGACAAAGGATACTGGCCTACTGCCATTGTCTTTGGGAGGTGTTAGCTGTTAACTGTGCAATTAATCCTGTGATAGGAAAGAATGAGGCAAGATGTCTTGACTGCTGGAGTGCTTGTCCTGCACTCTTGCTTTTGAAGCTTAAAATTATCCCTGACCCCTCACAATGGGAGATGAGGAATAGAGGGCATCTGTGTGCTCTTTATTTTGGATTTTATGTCGGTGACATAAGAGAAATGCCTTTCGTAAACATTAGTCCTGCAGTAAGAGGTTCTCTTAGCATGCAGGTATTTCAGCAATGGTAGTTTGCACTTAAAGACCAGGCTAATTAAAAGGCATCAGATGGATGAGGGAGGCCTGTTTACGCTCCTCTATGATTGGGCAAGTGTGGCATTCACAGTACTAAAATAAAAATTATTGCTGACTGAAATTAGCCTTGATGTTCCTTCACTGTAGCTAGCTGTCTGTAGGTGAAATAATATTGGGGAGCCAATCTACAACTGTCCCAGTTAATATGAAGTATAAACCTAGGTCTAATCCTAGAACTTATTGTGTTAGTGCTTAGAAGAATGACATGCCTCATGTCCCTTGAGGCTTATGCTGCTTTCTGCTATGGCAAGGACAAGTTTTCAGTTTAAAACCAGTAAATATCCCAGTGAATCTGGCATGTCTCTCTGAACAGTAAGGACTCTGAAGTAGGATGGAGTCTGCCCTTTTTTATTTCTTTCTGGGCTATGGTTGGGCATCACTCAGGAGAAGAGCAGTCAAAACTTGATTGGGAATCATAGAGTCTTGAATTTCTTTATCTTGAAGCAGGCAAATGGTAGCATAGGGCATGACAAGATGCTAAGAGGGGAACTTGTTTCCCTTACTATGTCACTGAATGGGGTTTGAGCATTCATAGTGACTGTGTATTTTCAGCTTAAGGTGGATTGAATGACTTTGCCCTGGACTGGAAGGAGCAGATGTGTAGCAGTGGGGCAAGTTCCTTATCCACAAGGAAAGGGTTTTCCTTCCACCCATACTTAGTTGTACTTTTTTTTTTTTTTTAAATGAAAGTTACTTCTGGAAACTTACACAGCCACAACATCTTGCTGATTTGTGAAATCAAAGCCCCAGTGCATGGCACTAACATGACAAGTAAGGGCTGCACATGCTTTCTAGTGAAAGCAGAGAATGTCTTGCTTAGCACTTGGTAACATCACCGTCCCTCTGAACTGCTGCTGCTTTCTTTCCTCAGTTCAGTTTCAGCTACTGCTGTGCAGGCATTTTGACATGCCAGTAGTGTCAGTGGCTGAATCACTTGAAACTATACTGGTACACTGCAGCTTTGTTACTGCTTCTAACTGTAGTTGGACAGAAGTAAGAATAACAAGGATTTTTGTAGTACCTGTATAAAGCATGAGAGTCTTTAATTGTCACTTTTCCCATCTTTTCACATAAACTCACTTCTACTTAAGGCGTATCTCAGGAGTGATGCTGAAATGCTTTTAATATACTTTAAAGACTAAGGTTCCTGAAGGCCCAGAGTAATGTTGGGAAGTAAATTAATGTCAGATTCCTCAGGGACTGAGCTAGCACATAAAGTTATGATGAGCCTAGAATTTAAGAGCTTGTCTGAAGATACTAACCTAGGTAAGTTTTGGGCTGTTTTTTTTTTTTGGGGTAAGTTTTTTGTGTTGTGTTTTTTTTTGTGGGATTTCCCCCACCCCTGAAAGCTTGATTTGTTAACAGGAAATTGCTAAAATTTTGTACTTTTAGAGCTTACCTGTTGCTATTACTCATTGCCCTTCCTTTATGTTCCAGGGCTCCCTGGAAATAACACAGAGTTTGGAAGATGATCCACTACTGGATGCCCCACTTATATCATCTCATACATTGCATTCCCAACTAAGGCCAAGATTTCATGCTATCCCGGCAGTTCTGCTTGCCAATTTTCTGTTGCTAATACATGTAAGTCTTAAGCATGGTTTCCTTATGAAAACTTGGTGTCACTATTCCGAATTCTTACCATTCATATAGACAGAGTTCTCCTGAGATTTGCATGCGTTGTTCTTCCAAACCAGTGAAGCCCTATTTGCCAACGAATTTTGTTAGTGTATGTGTTTATATGCTACATACTGTGTTCTTATTCTGATTGCTTGTCAACACTAATGTGCTATGATGCATCTTGTTAGGAAGAAAAGACTTTTAAGTAGCATGCTGTTGGAAATCTACTTGCAGTATTACTGCTGTAGAAGTGCTTAGACTAGTTATAGAGGGCTAAGAATTTTGGTGCCATGCCTCGTTGAGGCTGAGCTTGATTCGGGGGGAAGGTGTAAGACGTTTCTTATGATAACTAAACAAGTAATGTTGGACTTATTACAGGGGTTTTGCAGAGTAGTGAATGGAGAGAGAAAGGAATCCAAATGTTACTTCCTGATCTGACTTCTGGGCATTCTGAGTAGAAGGCACAGATAAAGTAGAAATCTTGTACCTCACAGTAGGAAGGCCTTCTTGAAGCTGATGGGCAGACGCAGAGATTCCTGCTTAGTGTGTTTATCCTTGGTAAACTGAGAAGGCTTATTGCTAGCTTTGTGTGTGGAAACCAAGCATGAAAGAAGGTTGAAGAGATCTGATGATAGGATCTAACTGAAATGGTACTTGCATGGCACTTACGAACATGGTTTATTGGTGGACTTGGCAGTGTTAGATAAACAGTTTCTTATCTTAAGGGTGTTTTCCAACCTAAATGATTCTGTAATGCTGCTAACACTGAAGATAGTATATGTATAAAGCCAGAGTGCACAAGACATGTATATATGTATTGCTAGCTGTTTCAGAGATTCATTTGCTCTCAAGCAAAAAAAGCCATGCCCAGTGCTCTGCAAGACATGCTCTGCAAGACGTACTCTGCCAGAGCTTTAAAAGCACATAGCAACCTCTAAGGTCTCTTTTTGACCAGCTGCATTAAACTGTTCAAACAATATACCATAGCCTTCTAATTTTTGAAGTAAATGTTTTGTTTGCATCTCAGAGGATCTTAATATTACTACTGTCAAGTAGGCTTAGGAAAGACTTCTGCTGTTCTGCTGAATAAACTTCCAAAATTCCCAGTGGAAACTCTGTATCCAGTCTCACTGCCTTACCATTCCTCTAGGAGGTGCCATTAGGATGCCACTTGGTCTGCATTAGGAAGGTAGATTCTGCTATGGTAGTAGGACGTTTTTCCACCTAGCCTTAGGTCCTTATTATCTACTAACATCATGGATGTAGCCAAATGTCAGTCACCCAGATCCTAGGAAACTGCTGTTTCTTCTGTCCTCACCACTTCCTCTCCTCTCCAAATGGAGAGAAGTGAGGGGAGGTGAAGAGAGAGAAAATTGCTGAGGCCTCTGTCAACACATACTTCTCCAGGTAAAGTGTTGCAGTCGCTGAACATGCTGCAATGGCCAGTTGGTCCTTGGAGCAAAATGGGGAAGTAACGTTTTCTGTTGGTGAAATATAACATTATAATTGCCACATAAAATAGTACCATTTCTTGATGGAAAAATGGATGGGGGAAAAATAAGCTTATAGAATTTCTTACCCGGCTGCTTTTGTGAACATCCACAAGCCTTGTGGGATGTGGAGACACCAGGTTAGCTTCTGATTGACAGTCTACCAAAGGGATGAGTATCCTGGGGAAGTTAAACCACCATAGTCTTATGTGGTACTGTTGTAATTAATCTCTAAAGTAATTTATATATAAACTTGGAGCATTTCTTCTCCACCCTACTGTACCAAGAAATGGAATTAGTTGGCAATGTAGCTGGTTTGGTGCAGCTGCCTGGTTACATACAATTCTGAGCTATGTGTAGGATATGCTGGAGTGTGATAGGGTGGGGGTTTTGAGTGGCTTTTCTTTTGCCAAGCCTTGCTTTTCTGCAGGCTTCTAGCTCCTGTCAGGAGAGTCTGGAGAGCACTATGAAGTGTATGGGTTAGAAAATTCCTTTATATTAACCCTGCCTTTCCTTAATCTTCTCTGTGTATGCACATACACAAAACTGAATTTAAATGTGACTTTTTATCTAAATACTTTCTTTATATTGAAATCCTTTATACTGGAGTAAAGCGCATGCTGTTGGACTTTTCCAAAATGTAAGCAAAATCATCTTTTAACAAATGCCACTCTTAATCCCAGCTACCTGTTTCCTCTGTACACATATGCTGCTGTAGCAGATTAGCAGAGCTACAATGCTAGGCCATTCCTGCTTGCATTGACTTAATATAGCCATTTTCTGTCTTTAAATAGATTCCAAACAGCTGGAGGGAGTAGAACTGGATGTGTTAACTGTTCTAAAATAGCAAACCAAATAGTAAATGGACTAAAAATGTGGGTTAGCTGGATTATTTTTAGCTTTGTAAGAAAAGGTGGTAAAATAATAGATTAAATAAGTGCTTTGAGAAACCACCCTTTTATTTGACTTAATCTAGCAATTTAACCAATCTCAATTTGGGATTTAATTTGTATTTGAAGTAATGGTCTTATCGATAATATAGGACACTTTTTTTTTTTTCATTCCCTTCATGCCTTCTGTGTCTGTCCTCTATAGTGCTTCCCTTGGGTATTGGTGATTCTGTGAGTTATTCCCCCTTATTTCTTCCCTTCCCAGTTGCACGACTCTGTTCACAACCACAGCAAGCTAAGGGCAGTTTGTATTGAGAGTCATTAAGGGTTCTGAAAGGTTAATTTATGTGAATAAAGTTGCTTGAGAAGTAACAAAAAAATGAAAAATAAGTTCAAGAGGGTGGTGGGCTCTTTGTTTCCATACTTAATTCTATGGATACATAAGATAGCAAATGAAAATTGGATGCTTTCCTCCATCTTTAACCTTGATGTGTTGGTGCTTTTTTTAAGCTAAGTATACTATAAGTATTAGACTTTTGCAGGCTTAAGGCAAATTGATTTTGTTGTATTTAGAAGTTCTTGATTTACTTCTGTTTTAGTAAGAGTTGTTTTTGTTCTCAGTTCTGTTTTTAAAATATTTCAATTCTGTAGAATGAAGCAGGATGAGAAAGTATCATTCTTATTTACTGAAATGAAAACAGTACTTTGTATGATAAAGTTCTATAAAGACTAAACAAGCCCTGTGTTTATACATATATCCCAGATAACATGCACCCAGGACTCTTCCAGTTGGCCAAAAAATTGCTGATGCTGAAAATTTAGAGCAAAGTTTAGAAGACAGAACAAGTTACGGCATAATGACACTAGTCTGAAGGGATAAGTGTATATACGCAATTTGACTATAGTCCTTCTAACAAATTCTGAGCAAAATGGGGGGGGGAGGTAGTAAATACACTAAAGAGATTGCCACCTGGCAAAGTTGCCTACCCAGTATTAATAATTAACTTTAAATTGCTAGAATGTTTCACTTTTTTTCTGATGTCAGAATGTAGTGATTATCTTCAATGGGTACAGTTAAGTGTTGACATTCACTTATGTCAATTTAAAGAAACCTAGACTAAACCAAGAAAATGAGGCTGACTTGCAAAGCAATAAGAAGTGTAACTGAGTCTAAAAAGATGTGGGTTTTTTTTGGTTTCTTGGGGTTTTTTGTTTTTTTTTGTTTTTTGGTTTTTTTTTGAGGAAGTATTCCCCTCAAAGTGAAACAGCATAGAAAAGATGATCTAGAAATATAAGTTCACTGTGAATGGGAGACCTGAGGAACAGTAAAATTGCTTTAGAGAAAATTCTGGGAAGAGTGGTAATTCTCAGCTCTCTTTTGTGGGAAACTGGTTACCGTCCTGGAAGGCAATCTTACTACTTGGCAGTTTCGGTCACCAGTATGTTCCCAGAACGACTTGTAGTGGTTGTAGTAATTGTCTAATGTTTTGTATATTATTTCAACTCTAATAAAATTAATTTAGTAATGTACGATGAATAAATTGCATAAGCCTGTCTTTATGTATATATTTTTTATGTATATGTAGTCAAATGTTGACTTTCAGTGGTTTTTCTCTCTTCCAGGTTGCTTTTGTTGTTCTAGCATTTTTAGCAGCCATGTTTTGTTCTTACCCCAATCCAAATCAGGATAAATGCCCTGGAAACTATACTCACCCACTTAAAGTGCAGACTGTCATCATCATTGCAAAAGTAATTCTGTGGACTCTGCATGTTTTTTTTGAACGATACATCCAGCACTATCACAGTAAAGTTAGAAGCAGAGGTTACTTCTCAATATACCGATCCACAAGATGCCTAAAAAGGCTTCCACTGCTGATACACTCCACAGGTAAAGTGAATTTGTTTTCCTGTTTTATTGTTTTTGGTTTTTGTTTTTTTTTTTTATTCTAAGCTTTAAACTATGATACAAGAAAAGACTGAACAGTTTGTTTATAAATCCTCATAGGCAGGTTTTTAAAAGCTCATAATATATAATATGCGTTTATATAGGGTTTTTTAATCAGGTGGACTTCTTGACTAGCCTTTCTGGCCTGCCAGATGCATGCTGTAAAGAGCTCTTCTAGTGGAAAAATGAAGTTGGGTAAAACAGCTCGGCATTTGCATCTAGTCTTCAGGCATAAAATGTTCAGCCAGCCAGGTCTGTGTTTGGCTGCCAGTGATCTCAATTTGTGTGCTCATATTTGTGTACTCAATTTGTGTACACATATCTAACTGGATATGTGGGAAGACTGCTAGTCCTTCCAGGAAGTGTGCTACTCGCTTCAAGCTCATCAGTTCATGTAGAAACAGATGAATTGCCTGTTGTTCAACAGCTGTCTGAAATCAGCAAAATAAGCAATTTGCTGATCTTCAGTGGGGCTGTGTGTAATATTCATCTCTACTTCTGACTGCTTTTTTTTTTCCTCCAACTTTCTATGGAGAAAGGATGGTGTATAAGAGTGGTTTAGCACTGTATATTGTAAGTTACTTCACTTGCCAGTGAAGCCAGAATAGGTGATGGTACAAGTAACTGGTTGTAGCTTTTCTAACAAACTACCTCAGCAAATATAACTTGAAGGGATTTTTTTTCACATATAAATAGCAGTGGAAAAGGGAACAGTGGTGGCTTTTACAACATTTTTGCCTCTTATAACCCCACCTCTCTCCTGTGGATTTTCTGAATAACTGGAGTAGAAATTTTCTCACGAGAATTGATAAGTTACCTAGTCCTGCTTTATATAAACCTTAGCTTGCTTTCTGCCCAGTCACTAAAAGAGCTACTTAAATGTGCAAAACTTCAGGCTCTGGCCACTAGATAGAGCTCTGAAGATAAAGATGTGTTTGGAGTGCAGTAACAAAGTCAGGCTACAGCTGGCGCTTAAGCGTGTTTCAAAAGAGTAAAAGGGCTACTTCAGTCTAATGCTATTTAGTCTGGAATACTTAGCCCTGTTTGCAGTCTTGGGTGGAGCCCACTGCTCCCCTACCAGACAAATTCTGGGCATGTGTCAACAGTTTAGATGCAATCAGTTGTGTGCTGTAGACTTTTGATGTAGATCATCTGTAGTTCAGAAGGTGCCTGCCACGCTAATTGCAGCTGATGACACTTACATCCTGGCAGTTCAGTTATATAATGCAGCATGAAACAGGCCTGTGCAGTTCCCTAGCTACATCAGTGGTCTTAATACAAGTGTCTGGATAAAGCACCAAGTGTATTAACATGAAAGAAGAGAACCTGTCACACTTGGTATCAAGATAAGAGATTGTGTAAAGAATTAAAAACGTTTTAGGTCTGTAACTCAACACTTCGTGTTCCTTGACCAATTGTTCTCATTTCAGCTAAACTTTCAGTAACTTGTAAGTATTAAAATAGCTAGGCAACTAGAAACCTATGTAAGTATCTCCCTGTGAAATGAAAGTGTTTGCATTTTCGCTCTGCTACCCTCACTTAAATACACTCGAGCCTCCCCTGCCTGAAGGAAAACATGCTCTGATTTTGAACTGACTGATCTAAGCTATTAGGAATTGAAAGAAACAAATAGTTTCCAGGCAGTTTTGGGAATGGGTAGCAGCAAAGTTAGAAAGTCTTTAAGCCCATACATGTGTATGAGGTATTTTGAGTGCATTTTTTCCACTCTTGTTTTTTAAGTCAGGAAACCTATAGGAAAACTTGTAATTCTCTACCACTACAAACAAATTCTGAAACAAAACCTCATTTTGCTGCCAGCAGTTGTAAGCTTGCATCACCTATGTTAGGAAACTTCCCAAAGAGGCAGGTATGATATGAAATGAAAAGCATTATGGAGATGTTGCAGGCTAATTCAGACACTGGGAATGAGAGAGCACTAAGTTACTTTCAACAGCTAATGAGATTGTTACAACTGTAAAATATTACATTTGTTTTCTAGGTAATACAGCCCTGCTTTTGATTCTGTCAATGCAGCATTCCTTTCCTGACCACAGTAAAGTGTACCTGTATCTTATCCTGGGAGTCCTGGGCCTGGAACTGATTAGCTCACTGACATGCTTAGTGATTTACACAGGTGAGAGAGGCAATTTTTGCCTTCTTGAATGAGACTTACTGTAGCTGCTACTCCACTGTTCTGTTTGCCCTCCCAGTAGCTCACTTGGGATACCCCAGGGCATTTTACTGCAACTACAAATGCAGAATGATTCTGTGCTTGTAGAAGGAAAAGTAAGGTAAATCCAAAACAAATGGGAAGGTTTTCAGTCTTGATTTGATTTCCAAGTGCTCCTAAGTAAAGGTTCCATGTTACCTTGAAGCTGTTGATCCAGTGAAGTGGCAATAAAAGTATAATTTTTGCAAAAGCGTTCTGTAAACAGGCTTATCTGTTTAGCAGTGTGTTCTCAAATGCATTCAGCACAAGCTCTGATACATTAAGAGCTATCTGGCTTAATCAGAACTGCTGCTTGGATTTACATGTGGGACTTGCATAGTTGATAATGTGATTGTGCTTTACTCTCCAGTCTTTTCTTCCTTCCCTGATCCCACACAATTCCTCATTGTCACTAAAATGGAATTTCCCTCTACTGAATATTTAAGAAAAAACTGAAAATTAAAAATTGTGGCTTTTGGAATCTGTGCTAATACTGAAATAAGGTACTGCTTCATGAAACTGGGGCATCGCTTTGTACTTCACTGTTGGCTTGTAAAGTTATCTGTTCTTAGATTTGGTGTGAACTTGCCAAGAGTTGGTAAACCTCTTTCCATTAAACTACTGAAGAACTATCTGAAGTTCATTAATAAATGTTTGAACCAGGTAGCTTCCTCTGATCCTATCTTAATGCAAGCCATAAACCCAAATAATTTTCAACTCTAATGCAAATACCTAGGTTGGGAAAGAAAAGCTAAACACTGGAAAGGTACAAGACACTAAAAAATTCAATATTTTTGGTTACCTGAAGAAAAACAGAGATGTTTACTGTGCAGTCCATGTCTATTTAAATTATATGCAGTTTCTGCTCTTGAGTTAGTTTATAGTGCTGCTTCCTGATTTACAGGCACAAACAGGGAGATGATGCCTTAGCTAAGTGGCCTTGGTATCGGTGGTTTCTCTGAGGTAGGGTAGGGAGAGCAAAACTAATGGGCAAAACTTACAGCTTGCTCCTGACTTTTAATCAAATAGTAGGATGGAGAGTGGAAATGCCTCCTTCAGGACTGCATGAAGCTTAAAAAGTGAAAGCCATTTCTGTGATGATCAGATATTTGTCTTAACCTGTTTCTTGTGATTTCATAATTGGTAATCTAGGATGCAGTTTTCTTTTGGTGAAGGAAACTTTGCTATCTTCTTAGTAATCTAATGATGCACAAAGAAATGCTGATGAGTAGCTTCGTCATCTAGGGGAAAAAAAATCTATTAACCCTTATGCAACAGTAATTGAAATCAAAATGCAACAAGAAATAAGGTCTGGGCTCTAAACTACATCTTCCTCTTACAACTGTGCGGAAGTCTGAATGCTGTAGGCTTTTCTGACTTTCCTCTGAATGGACCAGCGTGGCTCAAGTAGACTGTCCTCTAGAGGAATAAAGGCAATGATGAGGGATCACAAGCATGGCAGTCCTAGAGAACTATTCCAAGAATGCTGGAGATCATCTCTTCTTTGCATAAGCATACTTACTTTCCTGGGAAAGTCAGGAAATAAGAGATAAACTGCAGAACTTTAATAGAACCTCAGGAATTCCAGTGAAATGCATTTTTTTTTTTTTAATTTTCTTTTTTTCCTCTTCACCCCTGAGGGCTCTTGGAGCTCAAAGAGCTACACTATGTACCTGTTATGCTGGCAGGAAAGGATAGGTTAAGGTTTGAGCCTTGAATTCCTTAAGAGCTCTCTGTCTTTCTGGTTACTTGTCACTAGAAGGGTCTTGTTTCCTAGCTTGTACTGTGCCAGTTCCTGTGACCATCAGATTCTTTAACCAGCTTATACTAGTAAGTGGTGCAATGTAATGCTTTGTTTTCCAGCTTGAGGCTTGAAGGATCTAATGAGCCCTGGAGTTAAGGGGAAGAAGGGGTAGAGCTGCATTAATAGGAAGGAGTAAGGCAGTTCCTTTTTGAAAACAGCTGCCTTATTCCTCATCAGCCTCAAAAGAACAGTGTGAAGCTTCATTCTCTAAATTCTATTGTGCAAAACTAGGGTGAACTCTTACCCTCAATATGAGGCCTTCCAGTCATGCTAGGCTGCCCTTTCCAGTAGGTAGTGTAACTTGTTTTCCATCCATTGCTTACCATGCTGAGTTAAGCTCAGAGACTGCATTTGTGTCTTCTGTGTGCAGTGGTAGGTTGTCTTAGGTTTTTAAGTTTTTAAGCATCAAGCTAAAGCTATACCAAAGAAAACAAATTTATTTGGCCAGTTTTGAAAATAGCTGGAGAATTTGTAGTGGTGACACGGGTGCTCTTTTCTCTGAGCTGAGTATGTGCCTGGGTGGAAAAGCATGAAGCTTCTTCAGTAGGATAGTTTTCAGAGCAGTCCTCTGCCCAGGGTTGGTGTGCCCCTATCCAAGGCAAGCACTTAGATACCATTGTTAAGATAGTATCAGCTAATGTTGCTTAACAACAATGGGCAGAGTAAGGTCACTTTGCACTAGGAATTCTTTCTTGTGTTAGTATGTTACTCCTCAGTTTTGGAGGGAAGGTAGCACCAGTTCATAGACTTCCCCTTCTCCCCCCCCCCCCAGTGGAATTATTAGTTAACTAACAGCATGAGGTGTAAATTCTTACCTGTAGAAGGTTGATGTATCTTATGAATTATATGCTGCCTAATGTCCTGTGAAGTACTACTGGCTTTTAAAAAAATACTTCCATTCAGCAGTGTGTGTATATATAGCTGTAGGATGCAGAGGCAGGGATTCAGAAATATACAGGGAGTTGCTGTGATTGACTTATAACAGGCTTGACATATATAAATTGTTTAAGTGAGGTAAATGTGCATGGAATGAAGTATGATACAGACAGCTCTAAATGTCAGCTTACTATTCTAAGTTTGTTATTGATAGGACAGGGAGTCAAGCTTTAAAAGGTTTACTAAATATATGTATTTAATGACTTTCTTACATACTTCTAATATCGCTTGAATAAAAGACTAACATTCCCACAAACAACTCATGTTGGGAATTCCACATCCATTCCTTCATGGCTTTATTTGTCGAGGAATACTATCATAGAAATAACTAACCTTTGAGCCTAACTTGTAGTTAACCTCTGGAGGGTCTTAGCATTGTTTTAGCAGGGTGGCCTGTAGTAAACCCTATCATATTATTGACTTGTAAGGACAGTCTTACTCTGCTGCAATAGTGTGGATTTCTCATGGAGCTGGACTGTAATGTTTTTAGTGGCATTAGATGTATTTCTTCATAAGCAGCCTGACCTGCAGAGCCCTGAAATACGTACTCCAGATCTTTCAGTACATTCCCTGAATCAGAATCTTATGTTGGATGGTTTCAAATGTTTTCAGCTTCCTTCCAGAAATAATGCAAAGGGTATCTACAGCTTCTCTTACCCCTACCCATTCACATTCCACATCTATTTAAATTGGGTCTTAAACTTCTGATAGCCAGCACTGCAAGGTTCACAGTGTGAAGCTGAACTGAGCCCCTCCGGCTTTCTGTAACAAGTCTGCCCTAGTTTTAGCGCCAGCAGACAAGCTGTGCTTCATTGGAGGCACTCTGGTTAAAATGGTATTTATCAAAGAGTTTAACTTAAATTCTGACCTAGATATTGGTATCTATGGCAGGTTGCTTAATTTGTGGTCTGAATTTTGAGACTCAAATCTCAGTACCCTCTCAAAGGCAACTGAGTTTTCACTCTCTCTTAGGTGATAGATTAAATTTTGCAGTACACTCAAGCTTCCCCATTCATGCTTTCTCTGTGGTCATTTAAGCACCAGGACTAAGGAGAAGGAGGAAAAAAAAAAAACAGTACAAACAAAAAAAACCCCCAACTACACACCCCCCCCAGCCCTCCAAGGAAAAAAAAAATATCCCCCCCCTAACTTGTATTCAAAGCCATTCCAGAAATGGAGCAGATAGAGATTGTGCTTTTTTCTTTCCTTCCTCCCCACTCCCTTGATTCCCTTATCGTCTTTCCATCTCCTATCCTAAGGCAATCTTATAACCATCTCCTTTAGGTTTTTTTTGTATTTAAAATTTTGGAGCCTGGTGGTAAAGCTTTTCTTGTTTGGGGTTTGGGGGATTTTTTTTTTGGTTGCTTTCCAACTAATTTATGAAACTTTGTTGCAGTGAAGATAAGCAACTTCAATCGTGCCAAGCCAAGACCTGACATAATTGAAGAAGAAAAGATGTATGCCTACCCAAGTCGCATTACCTCAGAAATTGGTTTCAGGTAAGATTTTCTATGTTAATCTTGTGCTGTGTTCAGCCGTAGCGTAGAAGTAATGCTGGCTGCTGTAATTGCATTACTTTCCATAGTCACGTATAACCTTAAATATGGCAACCAAAGAAGAGGTGGGACTAATAGGTCTGGAGTAAACTATACACTTAGGACTGCTATTTTATGGGCATAGATGAGAAGCAGCACAACCCTGTACTTTCTACATAGTAACTGTAGTTTGTTATGATACAGAAATCTTCAAACATGAGGGCAGAAGTTACTCTACCATTTATGGCTGGTTGCATAAATCTTTAACAGAAATAACTGTGCTTAATCTGGTTAGCTGACTTTATATGGGAGTTTGAGGAAAGTTACTGGTGTCCTATACTGTTACTTAAAGTATGCCTACAGAAGCCTAGCTTCTTCAACCAGTTCTTTCAGGGAAGGAAATACATTATGGGCAGTTGATACATGAAGAAAGCTTTGCAGCTTTGTTCTGTGCCAGCAGTTGGACATCAGATTCTAGCAAGGAATTTGGAATATATTTACAGTTTGGGAAGGAACTTTTAAGGTTGGTAGGGTAAGAGGAGGTAAGGAAATGCAGTGAGACAAGCTATTCAGCAGGAAGCTCTCAAGCACTGAGACTGATTGATTGTTGGGCCTTTGTACCTTCTCACTGCTTGAACATCTTCCAGTTACTGACATGAGTCTAATGTGACTTAAAAAAAAAATCAAAAATGAATATGGATTTCCATATAGGAATTTACTTAGGAGTTTTCTAATCCAGCATGACTTGCTTTTTGCTGCCTTGGTAAAAAGTGGAAGTGCAGTGATGACTTATACTTGGCACTTCCCTTGGTGTGACAAATGCAACACACATATGCTTTTATGGAACTTGGAAGTAGATGTCCAGGATACAGGAAGGATTTACAGTTGTCTTGATTTTTGATACAATGTCTGACTTCCATCTTGATGTAAGCACCATGGTGAATGCACGGTGGATCTCATTCCTTTCTCATTCAGCTTCTCCCCTGAGAAATCCGTGAATGCCCAGGGAATGAGTCTGCAACAATGACCATCTGAGGAAAAGACTGATTATTTTTGATTAAAGAGTGCAAACTTCCTCTAAGAACTGATTGCAAAACGGTTACTTTAATTCAGCTCTATACAACTCTGCCTCTCCATCCCTTGAGAGTTAAGGTCTATTGAAAAGTGAATCCTGTCAGCCCTTCGGTTGACCCTGGTTATAGAATGTTTTTTTTAATATGACCTCTACGACCTATGCTGTTGACCAGGACCTCTTCTGGTGCTTTAAGTTGATAGTGCAGATTACTGGTTACTGTTGCAAGGTTTTTGTCTAGAAAACACATTTTCTTCAGTTTTTCCAGTTTAACTGGAAGGAAGTTTTTAATTGGATCAAAGCTTTTTTTCCACTCCAGCTGTCCTCAGCATTTTTGAAGAACTGATGCTGTTATTGTGAAAGATATCACTGTATGTAGTAGTATCATGTATGCTGCTGTAGGTTAGTCAAGAAAGCTATTGTGCGCAGCTTATGATCCCTGCTGCTGAATAAAAATACTGTGCCTGCTTAAAATAAACTTCTTAATGTTTGTGTAAAAGGTGCCATGGGTTTCTTTGTTAGTACAATTCTAGCATGTCTTGCTCAAGGACTTTAAGTTTGTTAAACAGTAAGAACCCTCATACTAGTTAAGCTTTTCTGTAGCTGTCTACCTGGAAATGCATAACCTTATTGTGTATCTATGGCATGAAGTTTAGCCAAACTTTTTTTGCCTTCTCATGCAAAATGGAAGTTAAACGTAAAGATGTAGGTTTCCCTCCTCCCTCAAAAGTTGGTTGAGATCAACAAAAGTAAAACTGAAGACAGTAACTTCTTTAAGTATTAATTAGTTGACACTTCATATATTGGAAAGTTGCTGTTATTGAAATCTGTATTTTTATTTCAAGGGAAAATTCAAGTTTAGAAGAGATAGTTGAAAAGCAAGGAGACGTAATAGAGTATCTTCAGCGACACAACGCACTGCTCAGCAAGAGACTGTTGGCGCTAACATCTCAGCAGATTAAAACTTAACAGAATTTCCTGCTGGAGCTCTAGAGGGAACATGAGGTAATGTAATATCCAGACAGATTTGTACAGATGACTCTGCTTCAATCATGTTTCACGTTTTGAACTAGAAATGGAAAGATGAGCTCTGCGTACACTATATACCTGTTACAGCTGGACACTCTGGCTCTCCTCAAATCATCAGTGCTGAGAAAAAGTTCTGGAGCTTCATGGAATTTTTAATTCCTAACAGGTTAAAGTTGGACCTGGAGTAAGGGTTTAATGTTGTTCAATTGTTGCTATTATTTTGTACTGCTGTAACCTTTAAGCTTCAAACTACCAAGTATTTTTATATTTTTAGAACACAGATTTGTTATCTAGAAAAATCTGATGTTGCAAAGGATGTCTTTCAGTTCCTAGTGCTGAAGCTGAGGCTAGATGTGGTCTGTCACAGTCTCATTACTTCTAATGTTAGAGGTGGTGTACTTCAGTAATCCTATACAAGGCAGATTCTTTCTAGATCAGACTCCTTTTCTCTTTTTGTCAAGGAGAGGAATGAAACTGTTGCTTGTGCCAGTGGGGAAATTTGGCATCTGATTTAGGAGTTAAAAAATAGTGGTAGGTGTCCTAGAATAGCAGATTTCACAAGTGTGTGGTACAAAATAATGCCATGATAAGCAATATGAGCAGTTGTTCAGAATTCTGACTTGAAAACCTGTAAGAGGGATCTTCAGGGATGATGACTTTCCCATTACTAGGAGTCTGAGTTCAGCTAATGATCAACAAGATTCCTGCCAACTGAACTAACTTAATACAAAAATACTTGAGTAAGATGTTTTGATGTTGTAACTAACTTGTGTTGAATGTATTTAAAGATCCTGTTAAAGATGCATCAGGTACATCTTTGCTCCTTCTTTTGACTCTTCAAAAAAAATATCAGCATCTTGATTTAAAGTTAAATGTATGTGGGGAGGTGAAAAGCAGCAGAAGACAGGTCTTTCAGAAGTTGAAGAAGCAAGAATTTTTGGTTCTATTCATGGGCTTACTGTGAATGCAGGTGGAAGAACAGTTCTGTTCTGGGTATTACTTTTGTCTACCAGTGTAGACCAAGAACTATTTTAGAAGCCAATGCCTCTGTGGGGACAGGGTAATTGCTAATCAAAACTGAGAAGGCAGCTTTCATGAGTGGTCTTGTGCTTGAATGTAAGAAAAACAAAAGAAAATGAATCCATCCTACTGTGTCCTAGAGCACAACTTTGGAAATAACCAAATGTTTAATTAGCAACAAACATGGGGATTGTCCCCATGGAATACAATAAATATTGGAGGGTTTGCTGCTATCCAACGCTAGACTGTTCTCTTTAACTGTTTTTTCTAGAAAATGCAGCCAAGATTTTATAGTGTATCCGTAAGGAATACAAATGTGTTTTGTTTTTAGAACTCAAATTTTGATGTGATTGTATGTATCAATTTGTATGATTTCTATGAAAAGCAGTAAAATGTGACTGTGAAGCTCACGCACAATAAATGCAACTAAGGAAGAATGTGAATCCTGTCATTTCTAGGCTCATGTACAGCTGGTGAAGACTTCCAGACTGTGCTGATTTTGCTATGCTGGAGTTCTAGCAGCACAATTCTGCTGCTTAAACTAGCCAAAACCTGTTATGACAAGGCTAGCTGAGTTCTTGTTCTGAAGCTTAGGTTCAGGTTTTTTTTTTTCCTGGGTATTGTTTTGCCATCACGCTTCAGTCTTTCTCTGCTACTCTTATTTTTCTCAGAGAAATTCCTCCTTTTCATAGAGGAATAGGCTTCATAGTGTAGCAGAACAACTTCACTGTATTTTGAGGGCATTGCTGATACTGTCCTTCTCTCCTTCATGACTGCTTAAGGAGAAACTTGGATTAACCAGCAGTACTGCTTTCTATGGAACATGCCCGCTGAAAAGTGGAGTGCAGGTTGCTGTTATGTGAACATGTTGCCTTTTGTAGTTCATAGCTCTTAAGTACACAAATTATCAACAGCTTGCAACAACCAACCCCCATTTTTATATCAGTTATTACACTGCCACTGTGTCTTGTTTTGTTAGTATTTTTAAGCTTAAAAAAATTAAAGGGGGGTTTCACATCTGTGCAGGGCACAGATCACATCAGCTCACCCTGAACACTTTCTACCAGCTGGCCATGGTAGGACTATGAAGAGTTGAGTGGGAGCTACCAGAGCATGGCAAGGACAGCGCACACTGAGAAGTGTGTGTCAGCTCTCAGGCCCTTGCTGGCATCTTTGCACCAGATGGTGCAAAAACAGCCCCTTCTGCACTCTAGGGGCAGGTAACCACCAGCAGCTCCCTGCCTGGGCACAAGGTGCATGGTCATGCTACTTGCTTTGTATGATGTCAAGGCAAAACAGTGTGGTGTGGCATGCTGGATGTTGTAGACTTGCTCAGTGGTGGACCCCCACTTCTTCCTGCCAGTGTGGACTGGCCTGTGGCTAAGCTTATCAGTCTACAGTGGGTGGTGGTGGCAAAGCTGATAAGGGAGACTCAAGTGTGCCTGTTGGTGCTCAAAATGCAACATTTAAGGGACAAATATCATGTTCTGATAAACAGCATGTTCTGTAAGCAAGAGAAAGCTCAGTTGCAGCCTTGCTGCATCTGATGTACCACAGCTCTGAAACTGGATGCAGAGTCCTAATTTTTCAGGTTATGTTGCATATTGCTTACTGGAAACTTCTCTGCTGGTACAAGCTTAGGTGCTGAGTGTAGCAGGGGCCAGTGCTGTCTGACCAGCTCCAAAGCAATCCATGGCTCATCATCAGTGTTGCACCTGGGGTGACTGTCCCTGCAGCATCAGTACCTGATCACAGATTGGATCTTACTGCCTGAAGTAAAATCCAGTGTGCTGCATGCTCAGAAGGCAGTAAAGCATTAGGTTCAAATTTTGGGTGGGAGAAGGGGCAAGGGGAGAGAAGTACCACCTTGTGAACTCTGTGTTCTGCTGCAAATCAGCATTTTGCTAACTACCAATGCAGCCTCTCAGGCAAGGCACACCTGCACATATGAGAATATAAGTGAAGTTAAACAGCTGAAGAAATTGGTGATGCTCTTTATGTAACTATAGCTGCTGAAATGCCATAAATGTTTGCAGGTCTGTGATCTTAAGTTGGTTGCAATCCACTAGACCATGCCATGGTAGAAAACATAATGAAGAAGGAATGTTCCCCAAAATATGTTGCAACTGTATCTTAAAGTATAAAAATGTATTCCTTTGGGTTTTATTATTTTTCAGTTAGTACCCTCCAACAGCTTTTAATTCCTGTAGGAAAAAAAATGTAGACGTGTTTCAGGTTAGAGAAAACTAGTATTTCACACCACCTAAGAAACAAAAGACTTGGGGTTGCCACCTAAATGTTCACATTAGGTTTTTTTAATGATTTCTAGATGAAATGCTAAAACAAAAGAAAAAAAATTATAATATTTTGTGAATGCTCATGATGTATAAGGCGGGGGAGGGGGAAGTCAGTATTTGTGGGCTTTTATTCTGAATAACTCATAGGGGAAATTCTATATAAGCACTTCAGTGTTTCACCTCAAAGGAAATCATTGATTGTAAAAGACTTTAACAGGATTTTCACGCTTTAAGGTTCTGCTACAATATGCAGTTAAGCAGGCTTGCCCCACTGAAGGTCATTAATCTAAAAAGGAAAGTTGTATCAAGGACTGAAGGTACTTGGCATACAGCATTCTAACCCTGAGTTAACTCCAGATGCATGAAAAAGCGTCCTCAGCTGTTGGAATGAGTTGGGCTTTTAGGTGTTATTGCTAACTGAGGATACAGGTTGTGCTGTTGGAATGTTTCCCATTTTGCACAAATATTTTGCAGCTGACCACCAGCAAGAAAGATAAAGGTCATCACAGTAATAAGAGATCAATATGCTAATTGTACTGTCTGATTGTAGTCAAATGTTTGAAACTTATTTACCACGCTAATGTTGCTTCTGAGTGATGTTGATATACATCTTATGTAACCCTTAGCAAAACTTGGCTTTGTGTGTATGGACACAAAGATATTTATAGCATACGTATGTGGCGTAAGGGAAATATTTCCAGTCTTTATTCTTCTATAATTTCCTTTTTTTTCTATACTGGAAAGGGAAGAGGTGAATTGTTTATTATCCTTTGGGAACGCACTAATCTGCTGTTTCTCACCACAGCCTTACATTTGCTTCTCTTTCCTGTTGACCTGCTGTTACATCATTTTGTATTTCACTCTAAGCCAGCTAATATAATTTAAAAAAGACTTAATGAAACTGACTTTCAAATAAATTTACACATACACACACTTAAAAACTGTAAGACAGAATACTTCTTATTTTCACAAACTGACATTTTGCCTTTTGGAGTTCGAGGTCTGAATCTACTGGAATTGAGTCTTGATTGTTTTGATTGCACCCATGTAAGCATCAATTCTGGTTTTCAATATACAGCAATTTGTATTTGTACAAACATTCTTTTAATTGTACACTCATGCACACAAAATGTTCAGTCAGTTCAGCTGTTGTAGCACTGTGTCCATGTGCTTCATGTTTATGTAAGTAATCATACTGTTATCATAGAAAATTGCTTTTACCAAATGAATTAAATGAAAAGGGCTAGTTTGGCAACAAAGTCAAAAGCAAGTCCAGTTCAGCTGAAAACAAGGTTCTTCTAACTCTGTGGGAGCAGGACTTCAGTACCACTGTTGTGGTGTGCTGTAATGGCAACTTAGCACTTAAATTTATTGACAGTGTCCAACAACCAAACTACTGCATATTTTAGCTTCTGCTACCCTTCAGACTACTATAGAGTTTTTTCTCCTGGAATTTGTACGAACATCCAGATTTCAAGATTTAACATAGAGGTAATTCAAAATCTTGGTTATTCAAGGCATGAAGACAAAATATAGTCTGGGTTCTGCTGTAATACCGTGGGCTCATGATGCTGTCTTACAGCATGCTGTGATTACACCAACCAATAGTTTTAAACCAAGTTCTTTCTATATAGTTTTCACTAGAATTTCTTATTTTTAATAAGATAAAAAAGTCAGGAAAAAATTTCCATGAAAACTACTGTTTATTGGTGTCAGAAATTGAGTAAGAAAAATGCTTACACAGCAATTCCATGTGAATCTACAGGGAAACTAGACAAACCCTACATTTTTCTCTTGCTGCATTGACTTTGACAGCCAAAGAATATAAATTTTGCAAAGTATAAGAAGTTTATTTAAAATAGGATGTTATTTGAAGTGCATACCATCTTTTTACAAAATATACAATCAACCAGCTCATTGATACTTATCTATAAAAAATCACATTTATGATATCAGCATGTCTAGAAAGAACAAACATTTAAAATAATTTTGTAGAATGACAATGGGCTTCCTAGGGCACTTTGGTACTTGTTTTACATCTGTAAAGGAATGCACATATATAGCTCTTCACTGAGATACATTATGCTTTTCATATGATTTTATCAAAGTTAACTGAACTATGGTTATATAAAATATCCAGTGCCACACTAAATCCATATACCCATTTATAACTGTTAAAAAAAAAAAAAGTTACTCTTTGCCATTCTCGCTTTCTCATACTCTTTACCTGTACTTCTAAACAGGGATAGTGATGGATATATATGAAAAGCCAAGTTAAATAATAATAATAAAAAAATAGTGGTAGTTGCGTCTGATTTTGGAAAACTTGCTTTTTTTTATTTGTTTGTTTGTTTTGGGTTTGTTTTTTTTCCTCAAAATTCCAAAGGTTTATCTGCAGGACTGTTGGTATACATAAGTTTGACCATCTTCTCATGATTTTCTAGAACTTTAGAATAAGGTGTGATGGGGATTTTATGTGTGGGTTTTTTGTTTTGTTTTTGTTTTTTTCTCTCCCTATGCAGAGACATTTGAGACTTCTGTGAAGCTCTTCCAGTGTGAATCTGATTCAGGTTTCAAATTCTTAGAGATGAGCAGTTAGATACAGGCACTGATCAGAAAGTTTCAGCTGCCTTCTTTTCTTGATTACTGTTCTTATTAGAAACCATGTTGCAAGACAAAAAATCTGATACTGGATTTAAACCATGTCACTGCTGATCTTCACTCATCTTTAAACAACTTATAAAAAATGTGGACATTGCAACGCTAGTATTATGACTTAAAAATCTGGGTATGACTTATTTCAGATTTGGTTTAGTTTTGCTAATGAAAGGGCTACCGTGTTTTCCTTTATATGCAGGTTCAGAATTTCTGGTGATATAAAAACATGCAAAATGTATATTTTTGAAAACAAACTGTAAAATAAAAGCTCACTGTATTTTTGACCTCCAGGACTGAAAAGAACAGCCTGTTTTCTGTTTGAAGTTCTCATTCATTGTAGTGCTGTGTTTCAGATATCCCATTCATTTAAATTACAGGAATAGAGTACTACGCAACACTGGGGTTCACCAAACAAAGGTTTCTTTTCAATGGTCTATTTTTATGCTCTATGTATAATACTGTAGTGGGTATTTTAGGAAAACTATTATTAAGCAAATAGTTCTATAGTTCTGAATTTTCAAGTACACTTCAGCTGTCTGGTTTGGCAGCCCAGTTTAAGAAAACAAATGATAGGCTTTGCAGTAACAGCTCATTAGACAGGAAGATGGGCTTGACCTTAAGGCCTGAGTTCAGGGATACAAGTTATCAAAGTTTTGCATGACCCTTGGCTAATCTCTTATCTCCATGTGCTTCAATTCTCTATCTATAGAATGAGGGATAATACTTTCTTCGCTTTCTTACATTGTAAACTCCTACTGTGCTTACTATACATGAAGCTAGTAGGACCAGTACTGTAGTGATGACTTTGGTACTATTACAGTAATACATTCTACATTATTGTTAAGGCAACTCCATAAAGATGTAATGTTAGCTGTAAAAATATAGCTGTATATATTATTAATATATAAAAGTATAAACAAAAAAACGGACTTTCGCAGTTCTGTGCTGGAGTCTAATATTTCACCTTAAATGCTGCTTTATACACAGACTGAATTAAGTAGTCAACAGCACATCCAGTTTCAGTCTGAACAGGATAGACCATTAAGAGTCCCTTTGTACAGATCCTTCTTAAGGCCACTGAAAATCCATCTCAGGTACCTGATGTTTGATTTGTTCTTCAACTTTCAGTAGTCCTTATGAGAGCCAAGGAATTTATATGGAATATTTCAGCCAGGTAAGTTTCATGTACATCCTCCCATCACCACCCTCCATTTCTACCTCCCCCATACTTTCTAAGGTGTGAGCCAGGGCCTTCCAGGTCTTGCAGAATGTGGCAGACAGGACTGCTGAAGACAGGACTGCTGAAGACAGGACTGCAGTGGCTCTCTCAGGTCAGCTGTTGTTGATCTGTACTGCTAACTTCATCAATAACTGTTGCTCCTTTAAAACACTGAAAGCCCATTATGCAATTGCTGGGGAAAAAATAAAATGAAAGAAATAGCCATCAGTGAGAGATTTAGTAGTCTAATGTCTCATGCAAAATAGAAAATATTACTTGTGAAATACAGATGAAATTTGGGTAATGTTTATTATTTTGGAACTTCAGCTGAAAAAGTTAAGAGAAAAGAAAGAAAAAGCTGAAAGCAAGAAGGTTTCTAATGTAAGATTGTCTTCCATTTCTTTTTTTTGTCCCACGTTTTGCGTATGTAACTGATGAAAAATCAGGTTTGGTCCTCTCATTATTTCAGATGCTGTTGTGAGAAAAAGAGCTATGCTCATCCCAGTTTCCAACCACCTGTTGAAATTCAGGCTTAAGGGCCCATCCTGTTTGCATCTGCAAATAGCTTTATCCATATGTACAACTCCATTGAGATCAATAAGATTACTCATGTGAGTCAAGTTACCCAGGCATGTAAATATTTGCTGAATTAGGACTAAAACTGGAAGGGAATGTAAACGTAGGCGGTAAATCTTACTTAAGATAAAGGAGCTGAGCACCCACAATGACAACTGGAGTTAAGAGAGTTAGTTCAGGTGCCTGTCACCCCTTACTCCCCAGTCAAGCTTTATGGGTTTCTAAACAGCTTTATAAAGCAGAATTATCTTTAACTACGGGTCCACAACATGCATTATGAACTAGTAAGTACACTGTTTTGCCTTGCCATTGACTTTCCTTACAAGAATTTGGCTCCCTGTGGAAAAGGAGGTAACACTGAAAATATATTTTGTCTTGATACACGATGGGAAATTCAAGTATAAGTGCACATGTACTGTGCAGCTACTGCAGTCACAGGCCAAATGCATTATATGCAGTTGCAAAGCACACTAGAGAAAATGTAGATGATTTCTTCAGCCAGTCTCCACATGACGGATGCTGAACTGGAGGAATGGGGGTTAAATTTACTTTTCTTAGGAACTGAAACAAGCCATTCAGAATCAGTTCAAGAAGTCTCTGGGCCTAAATTCCACCATCCCTGTCATTCAGTCTCTGCATGCTGAATAAATTGATCTGATTGCTTATCTTTTTAGGTTTATGCTTAAACTGATGAGGGAATCTCATTTAATCTGTTTCCAAATTGACTGCAGTGAGGAGACTTGGCATTCAGCATTAAAGCATCCTTGTTATGTCCCTCTTTCTACTTGCAGCTCCATTCTGCCACTCACTATGCAGCCCATCTGAGATTAAATTTAAGATATGGTAATCTTTTTTCAGCCTTGCCAGTTTACCATCCCGTATGCATATTCCATGTGTTTAACAGGCCAGCACTATGGGGTGGAATGGTACCTCTTTGAATGGCTGTTTTGGGAGTGGTGTGGGCTCTTTTCACCAGGGTAGTTTATGCATTGACAAGATTCTTGGTATAGGGTTGTTAAAAGCTTGACTTTAGTCTCCTTTTCACTATTAACTGCTTCATAAATCAAAACATCTGGGTTCACAGAGAGCAGGTTCTGCCATCGTGTATTTATGATGCTGTCGTGCCTGGGGCTACAACATTATTTTAATACATAATGAGTTTAGAAGATGCAAAACTACCAACTGCATGTTTTATTCATTCTCAAATTGCAAGAGCGCCTAGGTTTCCTTTTGATGCCTGCTCTATTTGCATATGCTACCTGCGTTCTTCTGCAGCTACTTAGTATTTGAATGTATATGCCCTCATCAGCCATAAAGCATTAATGTTTTGCACTTGTATAGCCTTTCATCTAAGGAGCTCAAAGTCTTGCTGACAATGAAGAAGAATTACAGTCCCCTTTGAAGTGGGTAAATGCTACTACCTTCATGTTACTGACGGGCAGAGTGAGATGACTTCACCGTGCATCCAACACAAGAGCCGGAGCATCTTCTCTAGCTACTGCTTTGTGCAGTCTTTAGGCTCATCACCAGCTTTGCTGGCTACCTTAAGCACTTGTAGGGCAGTGATTCGTCCTATTTAGCAGATCCGTCTGGTTTGTACTAGAAAGGGGAGGCGTTAGCGCGGTGAGAGGTGGCCAGAGGGGAATAACGGGGCTCTGAGCGGAGCGACAGCCCCGCGCTCCACCGTGCGCCCGTCCGAAGCCCTGTGCTCAAAGCAAACGGGGGCCGGACGAAATCACGGCCCTGGCTCGGCTTGCTTCGCCAAGTGCCTCTTAAACCGTTCCGAAGCGCAGGTGTGAATTAGGACACGTGCTCGTTGCTGGGAGAGGGACGCCTCACAAGACGCGGGGCCCCGACACGCGTGCGTTACCTGGGCCAGGCCCCGGCGGGGCTCAGGGGAAGGGCACCCTGGAGTGGAGCGGCACGCAGCGCCGGTGGGAGCAGCCGTGCCGGTGGAGCTTCCTGCGCAGGGCCAGGTTGGCTGCGGAGACAGGCAGGGAGGGGAGGAAGGAAAGCCGAGCGTGAGGGGGTGGGGGGTCGCCGGCAACCTGCCCCGGTGGTCGCGATGCCGGGGGCAGCGGCCTTAAGCTTGTCGGAGCAGTGCCCACCCCGCTCCGCTGGTGCCGACACTGTTTCGAGGCAGCAGGTTTGCAACAGTTGCCTGCCTTCAGTCCCAGTTCATCCCAGCCAACCCCAAAGTTTCCAGACTCCCCACGTACTCAGATACTTCTCTCCATCGCCTCACTGTGAGTAGAGTGATGCCGGGCACAGACCGAGGCAGCAAAAAAGCGCGTGAAATGCGTGGCAGCGGAAGCCAGGAGGATGCAAACTCTCCCCGGAGGGCAGGAACCGCGTGTTGGATGCGGTTAGAGACACGCCGGAGGTGCCCACGGCAGGCATGAACGCTACTATGCCCTGCTCCCCCCAGCCCATGCGGCTCCGCTGGTGCCTCTTACCTGTCCTCTGTCCGTCGGCAGGCAGGAGGCTCGCCAGGAGGCAAAACACGACACACAGGAGCAGCCGGAGTCTCATGCCTGCGGAGACGCGCTCGGAGGCTCTGTGTGTGTATATGTGTACAGGCGGAGACGCGTGAGCGGCAAAGGGGCAGCCCTTTCCTCGGCTGACCACACAGGTTGTGGCGGGCTAGGAACCGCGCGGCAGCGGCTCTTCCAGCGACGTTAGTGGTCGGGCAAGAGCAAGGCTTCTGCGCTGCACCGCTGCTAGTGCCTCCTTCTCTACCCTTCTTCCTTTCCTCTCTTTTCTTTGTCACTCCCCCTTATTTTCCATAAGCAAACAGCGCAGGAATGAACAGTCCGCGTAAACAGTAGCTGCTGTCAATGCACCGGGGGCACGGAGCCTCCTGAACTCCGCTTTAAATTCCACACAAGCAAGGGGAATAAAACCCGAAACAATATGTAAAACAAGCCCCGACGTTCCCTCCCCCATTTGCAACTGTTTAAACTCTGCATTGCCCATATTGGTCCCACATGCAGAAAGCAACGGCAGCGGCAGGAAGTCCCCCTGTGCCCCCCCTCGGTGTGTCCCCCGGCGGGGACTGGCAGGCCCCCAAGCTCGGCACTCCCCGCAGCCCCAAGGCTCTCTCTCTTCTCTAAACTAGCTGCGAAGCGGTGGCTATTCAAAGTGAAACTGGTAGCAGTTAAGGCTAATGGGTGCCTTTGTACCGTCAAGCATTTTTGAAGGATCAGAATATTCTGGAATTAATTCGCGAGCTTGTTTTCTTTTTTCTTTTCTCTTTACCAAGTCGGGTGAAATACAAGTATTACGCGATCTGTCACGGCAGTGCCATTCCGGGGAGAGCAGTTTTGGAGAGGACATTACGTTTTCATAACTCACCTGTACATTGCGTTGTATTAGTACCAGCTCACGGCGAGAGCTGGCTTTAATAAACCGCGCTGGAAACAGCTGGCGGGGTAACAGTGCAGATGTGCAAGACTGAAGAGGAGACAGACAAGCCCCGCGGAATGTGTTAGCAGCAGGGGTGGGTTTGAAATCCAGTGAGTTACGGGCATTAGCTAAACATCGAATGGTCCTTTTCTTATTTTCAACCTGCTGATTCCTTGGGATGGAATAGCACCTAGTGGTTTGGAAAGTGAAAATTTGTCCCTTTCTGAAAAAAAAAAAAGTGTTTTAAAATACTCAGGAAAGAGGTCATTTCTATATAGATTAAATACTACTATTATTAATAGAAAAATATCATCAAAAGTTGTCTAAAGTTCGTTGCCAAATTCCTTAAAAAGTAGAATATATGTGATTTTTTAAATTCAATAGCCTTTGCATTATTTTTTTTCCCTGCTGTGGGTTTTCCCATTTTCTTTAAAATCCTATTTAAGTCAATAGTCACGCTAGTCCCTCCTCATAGAGTTATATGTCATTACTGGGTTACTTGGTTAGTCTAGGTAAAGTATGCCTGTATGAATTGAGACAACATACATCTTGAATGCATGGTGTGGAAATCGTTATTAAATGTTACTTTAAAATGATGTCAAGACTGCTGAGGAAGATGTCTCAGGCAAAACAGTAACAAAGGATTTACTCCAGTGGTTGATCACATTGGTCTGTCTTAGGCAGCAAAACGCTTCCCAGTGCTCATCTTTACAGCATGATTGTCATTGTGTTTTCCGTGTGTGATCTCTGGCTTTTGGTCTAGACTTTAGTTTAGTATTGATGCTGCTAGCACAGTTGAAATCAGGGTCCCAAGGTGCCAGTCACAGAATTATCCTGAAGAGGGTATCATTTCAGATAGAAAAGTGATGAAGACAAATAGTGTGGCCAGGTCCCATAGCGAGTTCGTGACAGAATCAGGGTTATGTTCTCAATGTCCTAAATCTTGCTCCAGTTCCACTGGGACACCTTTAGCGATGTGTTTGTTGTTCATCATGGATGAGAATGTGCTAGTGACCTTGTTCATATAGTCCTGAAAATGTTGTTGACTTCCTTTCAGCAGTGAGCTATATTTGAATTCGGACTTTAAGGTGAACCCTGGTATAGACTTCAAAGTGATAGGGACTCAGTAAATACCTAAAAGGGCAGAAAGAATGCCTAGACTATTACTAGTCCCTCAGGCTATCTAGGCCTCTTTTGCATTGTATGTGGTGAAGTTTACAGACATTCTGAGGAGAAATTAAATTCTAAGGGAATTGAGCAAGATACAGTACTTAAGTGTATTTTTTTCTTACTTTAGCTTACTATGAACTCTTCATTCCAGTTACTCTGTGCAGAAGTTTACAAAGCTTTGGGTTTTTTACTAGTGAAATCCAAGTCACTGTAAAATGATTTCTTGTAATTTTCATGTATGCTACAGTAATGAGCTGATGCTTACTCACTGAGGAAATCTCAGAAATGTTTTACAGTCCCACTGAAATACATTCAGAATTTGAAGTTCTTCAGCAAGCAGCTTTCCTTCAGGTACTTGCTTTCATGTGGCATACCACATACTTGAAGTTAGGGAAAGAGCAACTAGGCAGAATGTAGTGATGTAATGGTTCTGCCCTTTCTACAGTGTGTGCTGGTGTTTTCTGTATTGTTTTGGGTTGGGGTTTTTTTTTGTTTTTTTTTTTTTTTTTTAAATTAGCTTAAGAGGAAAGGGCATATAAAGTACATAGGAAAGCTGGAGGTCTGCAGATAATGCTTTATGAGCTAGAAGAATTAGTTCTTTGAATCAAAGGCTTCCCTTCTCTCTTATAATCTGAAAGGAACATGATAAACGGATGATGATTTCAGCATTTACCACCTATATCACTGCTATTTTTCCCACAGACACTCTGTTCCCTATGTCTCCCCTTGATAGGATCAGAACAGTCAAATTATCAGTTTACTTCCAGAAAGTGAAAAAAAAAAAAAAAAAAGAAAAGAAAAATATTTAGCACATTGCAGAAATCATACCAAAAGTTACAAGGAAAATTTAGGAATGTCTTTCCAAGATATCAAACATTACTGTAACACACATGGCACTGCTGTTGGCTTGACACATTTGAGTAATTCATATTCATTGCTTTATCACTTCACTGGATATGAATTGTTCTGTATGACAGTTTCCGTACAGAGTGACTGTTACAGTCCATTTATTTTGTGCAGAAAAAAATTGAAATCATTGTGCCATTTCAAATAATAAGATTGGGAGAAATAAGGAAAAAGTGATCAAGGGGATATAAAATTATTTTGTCACATACATACAAAAAATGTAAAATCTTTTGATAAATGAGAGAACAAGTGATTGGAAGCACAAAAGATAAAATAATGGGTAGGAGCAGTAAAATTCATAGCAATAACAAGAATAAGCAGGGCTGGATGATAACAACAGGAGAGAAAGATAATTGGGCACTTTCTAGTAAGGAGTAAGGGATTAATTAGCATTCCCTGTTGGGCTGCTAGTCAGAAATGGAATCCTACCTTTCCTTTGAAGGCCGACACGTAACGATAAACTCTGGTGTTTATCACTAATCTTTGAGAAGAGCTTTCAAATGCTATCAGGATAAAATGTTAAGAGAAGTTTCTCAAGTACAGGAATTGTTACATATAGCTATACTGATTTAAACCTCTCTATCTCAGATACCCCCTTGGCTAATATCTCGTCCCCTCCTAGAGATCCATAAAAATGCATTGATCATGGTGGATCTCTGCTGTGCTATGAGAAGATGTGGCAAATGCTCAGCAGAGTGATAGTGAAAATTCTCGTTTATTTTGACTTAGAAGTGTCAGATAAGGTATAACTCAGTTTCTAATCAGATTTTCTCACTTTGTGTTCCCCAGATTCATCTGTCCTGCTGATCCAGAGGAATTATTTCACTAACCAGACAAGATTAGAGGTAAAAATGTTTACTTCAAAAGAATTTGGTGAAGCAAATAATCAAGCCCAATGGCAAATGGCATTAGGAAAAGATCCATGCTTTTCCTAGCTCCTTTCTATTACACTGCAAGATGATATGTGAGCTGTGCAACAAATGGAAGAAGAAAAGCAAAAAGACTATGAGTCACTGGTTAAGGGGCAAAAGTTGGCAAAGAAATGCTCAAAGGGATAAACTTTGAAATGTTGTTTAGGCATCTGTGATGTATTTTTTTCACTACAAATCTCTCTGTGATTGTTATCTCATGGTTTTATGTGGTCTCTGTGCCAGCCACAGATACAAAAGGTGTTTTTTCTTCAGCCCTGGGTGAAGCATCATAAGACAAATACAATGTTGCCTTCTTCATTGACTATAATTGTGAAGGCTACTTTTTCTAGACAAAACTCACTAACTCAAAAATTATATTTGAGGAAGAAATGATGGACTTTCTGCCCTGATTTTAATCTATGCTTGGGAATGAAAGCCTACTTGGAAACTCAGACCTCTTCCTTGTCTTTTGCAGTTTATGCTTTTTCTGGAGAGGGGAAAAAAAAAAAAAGCTCTAAATACCAGTTCCCTGCCTGTTTGTGCTCAGCTGCCTTTCCTGCCTGGGGGGTGACAGTGGTCCGGAAGAAAATGGTGGTCCTTAGGCAGAAGGAATGTGCACCAGTAACCTGACACTGGAGACAGATGTGCTCAAGGGAAGGAAATAGGGGTGGCTCAGGCTAGGATAAACCTTGGATAATTTTGACTTCCCCCCACCCAGTTTGAGAGGTTTTCCATGTGCTTTGCAGAGATGCACAACCTAGAAAGTACATTTAATTCAATTTTAAATCTGGAAGAAAGGTTGCTGTGTCAACGGCAGCATCTCCATGGTCTTACTGCAGTGCAAGTTGTGATTATTCAAATAATAATAAAAAAGGAAAACCAGTCTCTTGTAGACTTCAGTCTGTCTTACTTCTGTAATCCTATAATCTGTAGGTTTGATTTTATTTAATACAATGATAATAGCAGTCACACACATGAATCATAAAGTCTTTCCTTAACAAATGATTTCTTCAGTTACCTGGAGAACCATATTTATGGATTTTCCTTTTTACTTATGGAAAAGACATTTACATGGGCTTGAAGGTGCGCTTGCTTTTCAGTTGTTTTCCATCCCTAACAAGTAAATTTGATTCTAAGGTTCATCTAGAAAATATGCATATTTATTAATATTATTATTTTTATATGAAAATAAAGAGGCAAACTCCAGAGCAGCAGTGCCTGTGATCCCCACCGGCGTGACCACATGTTCCATTTCAGGCAACCCATTCAGGGTCAGATTCTTCTCTGGCACTGGTCATAATTTCAGAGCTTTTTTAATTTGAAGAGACATTTATGTTGTCTTGAATTGATGGTGTTCAAGAAAAAAAACTGCAATGCTTGCAAAGCACAGGCTTCTATAATTAATTTTTATTTGCTGGTTAACTTTCAAATATGTAACCCCCTCACAAAGCTAGACCCTTCGTGCCCTCGTTTTCAGCAAGGAAAGTCTTGAAAAAGTATATTTTTCATGTTATAATGAAAACTGTCAGAAGTGATCATGTGAATAAGGCGAACAAGGTTACCTTTCTGCTATAGCTTCTAACATAACACATTTAGGAAAGAGAGGTGCTTCCTGCTGTATTTAAC